GTCGGGAAGGCTGGAGGGTAGGAGGGGAGATGAACGCCAATGTCGTGTCACGTTCTTAATCACGTTACATATAAATTAGTCGCACTCCGCGGTGAACGTTTTGAGGTGAGTAGCTAATGCTGACTGAGACAAAATAAATGAATTAAGATATGGTTAATGTTTGATTTACTTTAACTTGTATGACACATCCAATGCGCACCATAACATACGAAATACACTAGCTATAACGAAAATGTGCCAAATCCCAAGTGCTCTTTGTCTCTTAAAATAGAAAGAGTAGCGAGCTAGCTACGTTAGGCTTCTAAGTAACACTTCTGGCGCTCATTATCTAATGTCCGGGTTTCTTGTCAAACCATTTTTTGTCTTTTAACCACCCTGGTCTTCATTTCAGATTGTCATGTCTGCCTGCGTGTTTATTTCGGCAGGTCGGGCTCACGTTTTTACTCTTGGAAGTGTTGGCTCTCAGTCTTTAAGATGTCGGAGTCCTCGGGTGCTATGCTGCAGTGCTTGTGGCCAGCTGCTCTGTGGGTTGGGTTGCTGGCTCCGATGCTAACTTTCGAGCTGCCAGACACGCCAAGCAGTGGTTTTCTACGAGGACATCATCCATCGGCACTAAGGGCACACTGGAGTTTCAGGGTGCGTGGTGCTTTTTTTAGCCTGTAGTGAATCGTCAAAGTGGTCATTTTCAAAGTGTTGAATTGAGTCCAAGCTTTGTCTTGGTTTAAACAATATCAGCCTTCAAAAGATTAACACCCGAATGCTTAGAAATAGCTATATATCCTTTACCACACCACACCGAGGTTTGGTTACGTTTTTTCCTACTGATTATATTATGAGATGTAACTGCATTATAAGTGCATGGGTACATATTATTACTACTACTATAACCTACAATGCTTAAGGCTCAATGTATAAACGGCTGGTTGGTAAAATTTCTCTCTATGGGCAACATAATCTAAATCTGAACTGCTGGCCGGACTAAGTAAGTTGTAGTTTATATTTTATCATAACCTAAACTATATGATTTAACAAATATTGTTCCATATAAATGCTGTGAGCGTGCAGTTGCAGTGCAAAGTGCTGTTTTTATTGAGTTCGATTGTTTCTGTAAAGAATAACTGCTTCGCATAGGCCTGCCAGTGTTCTTACAGCACAGTTTACAGTTTCCCCCAGTTTTTTTATTTTCTGTAATGAGCTGATGGTGCCAAACAAATAATTTTTCAAGGCAATATTAAAAACCTGGTGAACCATTAGAGCTTTCTCATTAGATTTTGCCTAATTGAATCTAGATACTAGGCAGACAGCCAGGCCGCTGTGGTTGTCTTTCCCCTATCAGCTGAATGAGATTCATTATTAATTTTATTGTTTATCGTTCTTCATCAAGATTGCATTGTGACATCATTATATTCATATATTTATCACAGTTTTCATGATTAATTGTATGTAGCAAAAAATCTATCACAGTTTGGTGAATGACATACTCAAGACCATGATTCTGTGATGATATGATCCAATTTTGACATTTTAGCATTTCAGCACCTTTGGATGTAGTAGTCAGACACCAGGTTGTCCATATTGTTCCCCCTCTTGATTGGTCTGTTACTGCTTTGACAGAGTGTATAATTGTAAAAATTAGTGTCATTGTGTCACTTGAATAAATGGTTTCTTTCTATTATGGTTTCCCAGGTCGTGACCGGTGGCCATTATGATGTGGACTGTCGTTTGGAGACCCAGATGGAAATCACTCAATACAAGGAGATGAAGAAGCAATATGACAGCTTTACCTTCACAGCATCAAGAATGGCACCTACAAGTTCTGCTTCAGTATGATTCTCCACTTTCAGCACAAGACGGTTTATTTTGGAGCTTCCAGGCGTGATGATCCTTCCCTCTTCCCCAATGAAGAACAGAGTCACTGCTCTCACACGTCCAGGTAGTTTGTGTGTAGCATGCATTCTATATGTGGTTTGCATGTTTGTGTTTGAGGGAGGAAATATGTAACACTTATGTAATACTGACAGAAGCGCCTAATTTTGTTTTATTTTACTTAACGGGAGAAACTACAGGGCTCGATTTGCAGGCAGGACAACTCATATCTTTGGCATTCCGTGTTCTGTTTCATGTTGTTTTGTTGACCCTTGCTTAGCTCCGCGCAACTTTGACGGCTTAAATAATTAGAGCACTTGAGTTTCCCACACTTAAATTTACATTGCTAGTTGCTATACAATGTCTGGAGATTTTTAACATGGGAGTGTCTTTTGCTCCCCATGTGCCCTCTAATTTATTGAATCAAAGTGATTCTTTAAAACTGTCTTATTGTTAGTATCGTCATAATTATAGTCATAATTTCTAGCCACAGTCTAAATATTTTACATTGGTCTTGTACTTCCTTTTTTTTTTATATTTATTTTTTATTATTTTTATTTACCATTTCCGATGAATCAGCTGTGTGTCCATTCCATGAGGCCCTGAAATCCTGCATCGACTACACGACACATTTCCCGCTGCCTGATGCTCAGGGACGCAGTCTGGGCAGAGGACCTCAAAACAACGCGTGTGCGTTCTGGTCCATTGGGAGAAGCCTGTATCCTTCTGGTGTCAGCATTAGCCAAGTGGTCCTGCTGAGGAAGCTTTTTTCTCGACAATGAAAACTCACTACAACAGTGATCGGATCACTAACACGTCTCTGAGCTCTAGAATCTGATTCATATCGCTTTCTTATTATTTATGGCTTGTGGTATGAGAGCTTGTTTAGAACAGCAAGTGCAAAAGATCTGAAATTCGATCATATTCAAACTGCCCCACGTCATACAATCTGACAGGTCATCCCCATTCAGGCACTTGCTGTTCTTATAAATTTAATCAACTCGAGTCTTGGGAAAAAGGTTGTGGTGTATAAAATGTTTTTGGGGGGGTTAAAGAAAAAACCTGAAGAAAGGCCTTGATGTGGTTGCTTGGAACTATCTGTGTTTGAGGCTTGCAAGCACTGGTAATAGTTAAGCAAACGCCTATGTACTTTTGAAATATTTGAAATAATTATCTAAATGTGTTCTTATTTTAATTGTGTCCTCGGGCCCATCATCGCGCATACCTCTCTCCAAGATCTGATGCATTTTTCTGGCCCCAATTGGGTTGCACTGAATAACCAAGGGAGTGGAAGTGCTGCTAAAGCTGTAAATGTAACTCATAATGAAGCATGGTATCCGATTTTCTTTCCTTATCTGCAGAGCCCATTGTCACAAAAAAAACAACTGGCAAGGTAAAGATGGATTTGGTTATGAAACAACATCTGCTTTTTTTTCTTTGTAATTAACTGTCAATGGTATTTTAGTGGGAAAGACTAGTTGTATTGTGGGTTGCTTTTATCAGCTGTCATTTAGGATGAGTTATTCAGGGAGTATTTGGTAGCAGAGAGGAAGTCATCCTTTAATTTAACATTAGTTGAAGCAGTTGAAACAAAAAGCTTGCATTTATTGCGTTGATGACTGATGTCTTCCTTTATTGACTGCAGTTTTCAAAAAAAAATTTTTACACAAAGGTAACGTTAATGCTTTCAGGTTTTGACGCACACCTAGGTGAATTATCGCTGAAATGGTAACAATTACAGGTAGGTGACTAAGTTTGTGTGGGGGAGGACCCTAATATTATTCTTGTGTTTGAAATGACACATTTTGTGGTGTGCACCAACTTATATATAAAACCTTGTCTTTCACTGTCCGCCTGCTATCTAGTGCTGCCTTTGCTTTTAAAGTGCAACAAACTTTATTTATCTTGTTTGCTGATATGTTCCTTTGGCTTTTATACAGGCACTTGTTGTAAAAATTCATGTTGGTTTTTTGCGGAAAATATAAATAATTCTAGTAACTTTGAAGTTGTAGTCTGTAATTTGAAAAAATTACCATTCCCCTGACCAGCTACTACATTTCAACAGAAAACAGGAAAAAGATTTAGACATAAGTAAATGTAATGTCTTATCTGCAATGACTGGCTCTTACTTTTTAAACTATTATTTGTCAATTTATCATATGCTGATTCAATTAGCAGTCTTAAAGAAAAATTGGAACAATGCACATTTTTAAAGGATTTTCATTAAACAATTTAAGCCTGCAGGGAAGCCTTACAATTCTGATCTCACTATTCTTGATTTAGCTCTTTACCACAGGAATGGTCTGAAACAGGTGAGTTTAATGAAGCCATGTACTAAAGTTCACTCTTTTAGTATTTTTACAGTATCTAACACATCAATCGAATGTGAATGACACCGTCACTGGGAAGAGACAAGAAAGCACTACTGTTGTGATGTGCGAATTTTCTTACACCTAAATCCACTGAAAAGATTACCAAAAATGTAACACTTTTTGTCTTTAGTAGTTAACTCTGTTATCTGTGTTAACATGGCAGAAGTACTGATTCCAGAGATCTGTGGTTAACTGATTAAAACAATAAACACCATTTATTATCTTATTTCACGTCAACTATTTTCAGTTTTGTGTTGTCATTTATTGTTTCTGTGTTTGCTTTGCTCCCTTGTTATGCTTTCTCCTGTTTATATGTTCAGTTTTCTTGTAGGTGGTGCAGTGTTGGCTTTCCCGTA